TAACAACCTTATGAGCCTACTGGCCCAATCTGAAGCCATTCTATGGGACTGATAGCCGCTTATAACGGACATTTATTGGGATGAGCACATACGAAGTGCACCTGCAAACGGCCACTTTATTATGTACAAGAAGACAGAATCAACATGATGATCCACAGGTTCTATATATTAGAACAACGTTCTTATACTTCATCCTCACCTGCTGCCAGAAGATCTCACCTAAATAGATACATTGATCTATTACCGTTCATGAAATTATCCCATAATATTTTCATCTATGGCAATAAATGTTGATATACTGATATACTGAATGTATTCACTAATGTATTCCTAATTTTGTCTAAATGACCATTTCAAACAACATGGCACTCTCCACTTCCCTAATAAACATTCTATAAATTAATTTCAGAACTCCATATTCCTAATATTACTGGTCAGCATTTGCATTATTTTAACTATTAAAATTGTTTTTCAGATATAACAAATACATTTTCAGTCAATCTGATTAATATCAGAACGGCCACTTAAAATGTGTAAACATTTCCACATATATAAATCTTAATTCTTATCATAACCCTAGTATTTATAACCCTTGTAATTTTTAAAATTCAGTTTCTGTGAAAAAAAAAATAATATATTACTACAGTTAGGTCTAGGAGTGTGATTTTGATCGGAAAAATCTTATTTTAGTGATCTACAAATGGAAAAACAGAGAGGAGAGTGCTTTTAATAAATGTAAAAACGTCTTGCCATAGCCCACCTCATGTATAAACGTATGCATTAACTCGAGCAACAATCCTCCTTTGCCACCTTCCTCTCCTTTGTAGTTGTAACACTTTTTTTTAACACACTGTCCTTTTTTATTTTTCTGCATTTCTGCATTAAAATCTCTTCTTCCAGTGGGGTGAAACAGGCACTTCCTGATGCCTGTTGTCATGGTGACTCAATGAATCAGTGCTCCGCTGACAATAGCTTTTCATACTTGTTGCGCACGTGTTTAACTCTGAGTGGACCTAGTTAAAATTGATTGAAGTAATTGATATCAGCCGTTGTAAAACTGAACACTTCGAGTTCCCGACTTCAGGATAGATAAATTTAGAGTTGCGAATTTAGAACCGATTTTTTTAAACCTGCTTCGTGAAACTGACTCATGTAACCTTTCATTTCTTTGAGCTTCAAGAATGTATGTTTTTATCTTGACCTGACGCAGCAACACCAGGGGTCTGAATTTTGATTAGTCCTAAGCAGACCAATCAGCAGCTGAAGATGAAGATACATGACTTCCTGCTAAAAATAATACAAATTGATCTGAACAAAGAAGACAAGAACCAGATACCTGTTCCCATCATCTTTCCAGCACCAGGGTACCGCCAGGTTCTTAAGAGGGAGTCTCACCTGGTTCTGGAGCTGTCTGAGCGAGTACTGCAGGGTCAGGATGTGGCTGAACAGCGGACTCTGCAGCGTCTCCCGCAGGTTCCCCAGAGTGGCGCTGTGGGTCCACTCCTCCTTCTGGACCAGTTTGGACTGCAGCCGCTCCAGAGCTCCCAGTACCTGCTGGCGCTCTGCGGAGGAAACTGGAACACACAGACAAACGGACCTTTTAGGTTCTGATACATGCATCATGCTTACATCAACTGGGCTTCACTTTCTGGTTCAGGAGAACCCAACAGAACATTCTTTGTTTAGGAAATATGTGCTTATCTGAGTTACAGTTAATCATTAGCTCCAGAACCCATAAACAGAACCCTGAGTCCAAGCAGAAAAAAAGGGGGGAGGACTTACCCACAGGGACATTGTCCAACATGGCCGTGCTGGATCCGCCTGAACACAAAGAACAGAGAGATGACCCGATTCAGACGGTACACAGTGGAAACGAGTCCAACAGGACACCAAATCACAGATTCTGTTTAAGATTAGCAGAACCTGTGCAGCAACGGGCCAGAACCCCAGGCAGAAAACTCCAAGTCCTCTAACAGCAGGGACAGACTGGGTCCAATTGGACAGTAGTACCCAGTACTCGACCATCCCGCCCCATATCATCCCTTGTTACATTTTGTTACTGAATGTGTAAAATTTCTACTATATATTAACAGTAATGGCAATCATATCGCCCTTTCAACATCTGTCGTGCTGTGGGTCACATGTAGCCTGAAATAAATCAAATCAAAGAAGTGTCCTTCCATTCCAGTTGGAAATTAGTCCCTAACTATATAGGGGCAGTGATAGCCACGCCAGTCCAGGGACCGACTGCAGTTCTACTGTAAGGTGCCTCGGTCAAGGTTAATGATCGGCGTACCTGACATATATCAACCATACCATGCATAGTGCTTTAGGTTAATAGACTATATTAGTTAGGCTATGCATGCTTCCAAAAAACAAAATCCATCATCCCCTTTCTTTTTTTTTTTTACTACTAGACTACTGGTACCATGTTTGGATCGAGAACTGGGACAAGAGGAGATGAATCAATCCAAAAGGTTCTGAATGTTTAGCGGATCAGAACATTCATCTCAATCTACGGTAAGCTTAATGTCATTAGAATAATACCTGGGTCATTTCCAGAGGTGTCAAGTAATGAAGTACAAATACTTCTCAACTGTACTTAAGTAGACTTTTTAGGTATCTGTACTTTACTCCATTACTTATTTTTCTTCCTACTTCTGACTTTTACTCATTACATTTTCACACAAGTATCTGTACTTTCTATTCCTTACATTTTTAAAACAAACGTTACTCGTTACTCTTTGATTCAGTTTAACGTTTATAACTATTAATTTCACATCATGTGCGCCATCCAATGCAGATCATTAGCGCCATCCACATCTAGTGAAAACTAGTGTAATTGGATGAGTCATAGAACGCAAACACTCATTGGTTAGCTAAAGGAGATCATCAGAAGCAAGCAGGTGTTCTTCAAACTCCAAACATGAATTGTCTATGCCATGCTACAATGTGGGATACAGAAAAAGATGTTGAAATGTCTGAAAGGTCGGACACAGGCGAGAGCGTATCGGGAGATGGAGACCAACAAGACCTCCCGCATCCTTGGCCCTATCTCAAAGATTTTACTTTATACCAGGGGTCTTCAAGGTTTTCGAGGCCAAGGACTCCCAAACTGATGGCGAGATGGAATGGGGACCCCCTAATTATATTCTATGAAATTGTGTTATATCAAACTGGTCCTATAGTCACTCTATTACAGATGGAGTAATGAAACAAAAGACATTTCACCCTGAGATTATTAAAGTATTCTGATTCCTGGTTGATGGGACAGGTGTTGTGAATGAAACGGTGCCCAGCTTGAAAGAGCTCCTGTGTGTCGCGGAATGTGAGCATTGATGACTGAAAGACATCTTCTGCCTCCATTTATCTGTTTACTACAGTGTGTTGAATTCATGTTTTAATCAACCAAAACCTTCGTAACCCCCATGAAGTACCTCCGCAGACCCCTGTTGGAAACCTCCGCTTTATACTTTTTGTTTTTGGAGCACAACATTTTTCACTTTTACTTGAGTAAAGAGGTCAAGTTGATACTTCAACTTTTACCAGAGTGTTTTTAAACTGCACCATCTATACTTCTACTTAATTACCAAACGTCTGTACTTTTGACACCACTGCTCATTTCAATCTAACTTCATGTGACCCTTTTAAAACCCTGAGTCATGCTTCTGATCGAAACAAAACCATGGAGGTCCAAACAGGATGGGATTTATCATCTATAAGTTGATTTATTGATTTTATCTATCTGAGCTGAGGAGATCTAGGAGCAGAAAGGGTTTCCTCTGGGTCCTACAGTCAGAACCTGAACTGATGAGAGACAGACAGGTGTCCCTCCAGNTTTATTGTATTTTATTTTTTAAATGAAAATATTTCTGTTGAATTTTGGAGTCTTTGTTTTTATCCTTGTGGTATCAAAAATGGTATCGAGTATTGAATATTTTCCTTAGTATCGGTATCGAGTTGAAAAGTTTAGTATCGTGACAACCCTACCAACAAGACCTCCCTCATCCTTGGTCCTATATCAAAGAATTTTTCCAAATAGTCGTAAAATTGAGCTTTCAACTCATATAGTGGCATCTGGCTGTTTTTTTTTTTAGGTTAATTTATACGAGGGGTCTTCAATGTTTTCCAGGCCAAGGACCCCCAAACTGATGGTGAGATGGAGCAGGGACCCCCTAATTATATATATATTGAATCAAATTTTGTTATATCAAACTGGTCACTCTATTACAGATGGAGTAATGTAATGAAAGTAATTTCTCCCTGGGATTATTAAAGTATTCTGATTCTGATTCCTGGTTGATGGGACAGGTGTTGTAAATGAAACAGTGTCCAGCTTGAAAGATCTCCTGTGTGTCTCTGAATGTGAGCATTGATGACTGAAAGACATCTTCTGCCTCCGTTTATCTGTTTACTACAGTGTGTTCAATTCATGTGTATTTAAAGACATTTCAATTAGAGGAAAAAATTGCAGGTGGAATATTTAAAAAAAAAAATCTAATCAACCAAAACTTTCGTGACCCCCATGAAGTACCTCAGCGCACCTCCTAGGGGTCCTGGACCCCCTGTTGAAAACCTCCGCTTTATACTTTTTGTTTTTGGAGCACATCGTTTTTCACTTTTACTTAAGTAAAGAGGTCAAGTTGATACTTCAACTTTTACCAGAGTGTTTTTAAACTGCACTATACTTAATTAACAAACGTCTGTACTTTTGACACCACTGCTCATTTCATTCTATCTTGCTGTGACCCTTCTAAAACCCTGAGTCACGCTTCTGATCGAAACAAAACCATGGAGGTCCAAACAGGATGGGATTTATCATCTATAAGTTGATTTATTGATTTTATCTATCTGAGCTGAGGAGATCTAGGAGCAGAAAGGGTTTCCTCTGGGTCCTACAGTCAGAACCTGAACTGATGAGAGACAGACAGGTGTCCCTCCAGCTGTCCCCTCACCTGTCCTCCAGGGACAGACAGCCTAATGGACCGGAACCATAACCTGATCACCCCTTTCTATAAACCTTCATAATTTCTTTTTTACACCCAGTTTCTAAAACTAACTATGAAAGGTCTCAATGCGCATGCGCAATGAAGGTAACAGTTTCTGTGCTCAGCAGGTGAGAAAACCGCAGGTAGCTTTCAGAACCGAGCCGAACCGGACCCATGTGTGTATTTACAAACCTGGTGGTCCACCTCAGAGCACAGACCCCTGCGGAGGACTAAATGAGCCGGAAACACACCTGGGCTCACCTGAGGGGAACCAGGAAGTGAGGCTAGCGGCTACGAGGGGCGCGGCCAGATGAAAGCTGCTGTTTAATCAGTTAACCCGAGATTTTTTATTGACCCAGAAACCAACAGGTGGTCTGTTTGGGTTTCCGGGTGAACTTTGTTGGTGAAACAGGTGCGTCGAACTTAGTGGACAGGTGGAAACTCTCTGGAAACCGGGTTAAACGCCTGACATTGAACGCAGCTTTGCTCAACAGCTGGCGGTTCGAACAGACCAGAACTGGTTACGTTCAGCCGAACCAAGACACAAGCACAGAACCAACTGACCCAAAACAAACAGTCTAAGCAGCTAAATAGCTAACTAACTGTTTCCCTCAAAGCGACTAGAACCAGAACTCACCTCTTTGGCTTCGGACCGACCCACAGAAACAGAACCGAGCCTCCTACAGTCCAAAAAGTCCGAACACAGGTTAAAAACCATTCGGAACTAGAACCAAATCACTTTGGCTGGATCCAGTTTGGAACCAGCGTCGCAGTGATGATGCATTTAGGTACCGGTGGTAAAAAAGAACTTTAGTCATTTTTACTGAACGTTCAAAGAACACCAGAGGGTTCGATTCAGTAAAGTCACCCGCTGCCCGGTTCTACAGGGAAGTTTTCCTCTCAACCTATCTGTGGTTTATTTACACACACACACACACAAAGAAAAAGGAAAATAATTTTTTTGTTTTTTCGGAAGAAAAACATGTTGCTTTTATTTTAGAAAGCCTTTATAAACTCCAACAATTGATTAAATGATTCGTAGAAATAAAGTTCTTGATATAAAGAAAAGGCTAAATTAAGGGTATACACATTTTCATAAGGCTACTTTTACACAAAAATAATAAAATATTTAAAGGATGGAATTAGCTTGCTGTAATATTTTGATTAAAACTAGTAGATTTATATATAACAAATCTTTTTTTTGTTGTTTTTAAAGAAACTAAAGATGTATGACATTCAACAGCTTAAGCGGATCTCTGTGGACTCTTGAACCAGAAGTTTGGACTGTTCCTGAACTCATCATTGATGTTGAGGAGGACTTTAAACTTCTGATGTCACTGACACTCAGGATTCTGCCTCCTCATTTTAGATCTGATTCTGGTTCAGTAGAACTGTTGGGTTCTATGGAGGTTCTGAGTTATTAGATCAGAATCATATTTAAAACTTTGACTGAACCGTTTCTGTTGGTGTAGGAAAACTTTTTCAGGGACTTTTTTATACAGACAATAATTTCTCCATTTTAGGACAATTTCTCCTTCGCTCTTTTCTGCAGAACCATTCTGACAATCATCGAACCTCCTTTAATTTGGAAAAGATTATATATATATATATATATATATATATATATATATATATATATATATATATATATATATATATA